AGGAAGCATTGGAGATTAGAGGCTGCAGATGCATCGGGATTCTGCCAAGCGCGGGTCCAGTGTGAGAGTGCGTTCGTGCTTGTCTGTCTGCCGTTTCGTCGCGTCGTTGATTGACTCCTAATGTGGTTTCAGCTTGCACAGCTGACTTGCAAACTTGTTCGAGTAAGAGCATGTCTCGTGAGCACATGCTTTCGTCATCCATACCAACATGACCTTGACAAACCCAACTTCTGGCAAATCAGTCAAATCAAGGCCATCTACAGACGAATATCAGGTGACCGATTAAATAATCTGAAACGGAGTCGAGCCCTGAAAACCCCGAACTCCATCGTGGAGCCATCGAAAGCAGTCACGCATTGCAATCTAGCCTTGCATATTCATCGGACGACATTGATACACATCGCGCTGTATAGCGGGTACATTGTAACCCAGTCATAACAATTATGCAGATGCTAGAACTTGAGGAATGACATCCGAGCAAAGACGAGGACAGCTTTCACTCTAACAGTCTCCCTCCCCTGAAACCCCAAACGTAGACTGATTTGACAAGAATAAGTATCTTTTGCATAGCGTAGAATACAACTTGGCCGTTTGACGATGCTGCAAATTGGTTACTTAATTCACTTCCACCTCATTTGTCTGCATCAACTGATAGGTGGATCTGAATTCATGCGAAGCGCTAATGACGCGGACATGATGGCCAAAGTCTGGAAATGACATTCAGGGCGTCATCGTCGGAATGTTTCAGCAGCAGGAGTCTTAGCGCGTCATCGAAGACAGCTTGTTCAAGGGAACAACCAAAGTAATTGCGGTCTACCCAGTTCTGCTTGGGGTGAATGGCAATGCAATTGTCCATCAGGCATGCGAAGCAGGCATCAATTGACAATGCGCACATTGAAACTGTTTGTAAGTAGCCAGTGAAAACACTGTGGTTTCTGGCAGTTTATTGTCATCTAATAATAGCGACTATTAACTCGTCCAAATATGCCCATATCAGGCTCGTTGCCATGTCATGGGATTAACGAAGTAGCGAAGAAGGGGTGAAGGAGGGGGATAAAGGGGAGCAAAGCCCGCTCCATCACCAACTGAGCGATTTGAGGATCACGCTCAAATTCGTTAACTTTTCCGTCAATCAAACAGGAAAATACAACCGTGACGTGGTTGACCAAGATCGCTAAAACTGGGTTTCCGTCATGAGAAGATAATGCTTATGAGCAGAATCGCCATTTCTAGCGTCTGGCTGAGGATCCCATCAATGTCAATTTGGGAGTGTCAAGAGAGAAAATAAGAGGATGAACTATATGTGAGGTGTGATATGTGGAGTGATTTTAACACACAGAACCCTAAAATAGGACTACACCTTATGGTTGAATGGAAAACGGTTTCGGAAAACCCAAATACAGCACCCTCGAATTTAGAAATATCGAATATCAACGGAATGAACTTTCATTTTGGAATTTCAACCAATGACTTTCTGATGCTAAACAACTTATCGCATCCTGGGTGGTGAGGGTGGGTGTTTGAGGTTATTTCTGGTAGACAGAGTTAACGTTTTGGCAAGGGTCAGGGGGTGATAACTTCCGAATCGATTAGAGAGAACACAGGTGAGCAGCCATGAGATGTGACACGTGCTGTCCGTGTTGACAGGTCATTTAATTTAGCGTTTTGGAGAGAAGTGTTTCACGTCTACATGTATTCTTACTGAAATAACTCCGAGTTCAGTTCACAACAAAGACGAACCCAAGTCGACTTTTGTGGTGTCTGATATCTCCAGTCAATCTGACTCATCCAAATCCATAGCTGCGAATGTAGCATCGATTATCGATGTCAATGTGAACGTCCTGTCTACAGAATACTTCCAAATCAATGTAATTCTGGTCAAGCGAAGAAAGCATGCTGCATTCATATGGACCTAATCTGACAACCTGTGCCTTTGCATTGGTGTGGTGGCAGTTCTGTGGTCGATGTGGGTGAGTGGTGGCTTGTATTCGAGCAGCATAAATAGACGATACTTGTCGGTCTTCGTGTCATAAAATTTACTATTGCCGGTCGTCGAAATCAACACCCATCCTTCGGCCTAACTCATTTTCTCGAGTACCATTGGTTTCTTCTACATAAATTGTTAAAAAACGATAATGTATTTATCGGCGTAGTGAATACACTGTTTTAGATATCGCAACCTTTCCTTTCATTCTCAACAATTCAGTTTATTGGAAAACGGTTTTTCAGTCATCATTTCAATTGACTTCCATGTGTTCACTCTTAGCTAAGGAGGTTGCATTTAAACGGCGAGTTTGTCATACCAGACCAGTGGACAGGTGAGATGACATGTTATATAACAGAGATTATGTCAGGTTTGCGTTCAGGATAAGATCGTGGTGAACTTGTCAAGAGCCTGCGTGGGTTGTGAAGTGTGGGGTGGTTGTGTTTGCTTACCGGTAATGTTCTCGTTTTGGCGGGGGTCAGGGGTGGTGTCCACCGACTCTTTAAGAGAGAACAGGGGTGTTCACACACGTGATGGGGCCTGTGTTTTATGGCAGACGGCCAGTCTGAAAACTTGACCAAGTTAATAAAAACTGCCCACGTTTTCTTGTCAAGAAGATAACATAATAGGATGTGACGTAGTTCAGCTGACTACATCAGCGCTTTACATGACTACTTGGGTCAATGGCAGCTTGAAGAATGCCCATCAACAGTGCCAGTGGAACCTCCAGCCAATCGAGCTCAACCTCGCGCTACGTGATACGTGAAATGCTTGAAGTTAAGACATGTCTAAGAGATGAGATGGGACAGAGAGGTGGTCAGAGGCAATGAGAACAAGCCTTCACTGAAACTGATCAATTCAACTCGCTTATTTGTTGTTAGCTCAAGAAACGACGTCTTGAAAGACGTCGACGTGCAGGTATTTCGAATAAGATGGTGGAGTTTTATGATCTGGCGATATCATTGGTTGGCGGCGATGTAACTTTGAAGAGATTGATAGTTGTGTACATCCGTGAAATGTGGTTTAATTTCAAATGCATGATTTGCAGCCACGACATCAGAGTCGACATCAGGGGTTGTGGGATGTGATTTGTGGAATGCCTTAAGTGCATTTCACACTAGTAACCGAATTCGGACGACGACGATGACGACTAGACTCGAGGAAGGCCCCTCCAGTCGAGAGAGGCGAAGAGAACATGCCTCCACCAACACCAATCATGTCATCGTCGGTGCTTATAGGGAAGACTGAGGGATGTGCCATGGCAACCGTCGGGAGTGGATTCCATGGCAGTATTGCCAGCCCACTCCCACTCCATCAAACTCACCATCAGTCCGACATCAGTGACGCCAACGCTATTCCCTTTGGTATTCCCTTCATCCCGACTCTTCACTTTCACAACCTTGAAACCCGATGTCCACCGACGTTTCAACAATCCGAAGAAATGGCCGAATGTCTCATCCATCCGATTGACCTCAGCCTCCCGAAACGCCACGCCAACGATTGACAGTTGTGCACACCCTACGAATCTTGAATTGTGTTTACTTGCCCCTTTCCTCACCTGCCCCATCCCACAATTTTGATTTTGCAATTTGCACCAATTTTTATATTGAGAGTTTTTTGTTGATCAGATGAGTAAGAGATGTACTGCTAACGTGAACCATCTCATTTTTCAAACAAAATATGGAAACACTGGTGCGTTTTGTTTGTGAGCAGCCGACATGCAAATCGAAGAACCGTGCTCTCGCACACATTGAACCTAGTGGTTATGGGGAGACAACCTGTGCACTGGAGAGAAAGGGCAAACTTGAATCGATTTATGAAATCCACATGCTGAGAATGAGGTCTAAGGTCAGGGCCACACATCCATCGGCTTCGACGTGTCTAGAAATATGTCATCCCTTGTGTGCACAGCTTCGTAGACTTAGGCAAGGCAGTTGAGCGTTAACGCATCTATCGACATCCACTCTCAAGGCACTGTCCAGTTTGCAAAGCGTCTGGCCCATGCAAACAGCGCAGAGCAGTGCGTGGTTGTCAAATAACGAACATTACTCGAGTAGACTGATTTACGTTCTTAACTCCTTCGTGTGATTTGTTGAAACGTTGTGGAGATTAATGTGTGCACGATGTGAACATGACCCGGTTGTTTCTGAGGTGGGCTTATAGGCATAGCAACATTTAAGTTGTGGATGACTTGAGGTGTGATAATAACGATAATCTATATTGTTACCAGCTGGTAACTATTCCAGTAGTGATCGAGTTCTCTAAGTCCCTTATCCATTTTTGGCTCAAAAAAAGCCTCTGATCACTATCTATGCCTTCACCGAATCTGATTGCTCATCTGTCGACAATATCGTGCCTGGAACACCGTTTATTTCGAATGCTTGTCTGCGCAAAGATAGGTGTTAGGTTTGAGCATGTTGGAGAGACACGAAGTGTGGAATGGATGGTGTTTAGGCAAGTCACAGAGGTGCCTGTGATGGCTGGCTCTGTTCACACCAGCGATGTACTCACATGACACGGGAACATCTCCCAACTGGCCATGCAGGTAGGCTGAGCTACATGCCTTGACTCATGTGCACCAGCTGACCCTCACCCCAAAGTTCGCCTTCCACGACAAGGATTTTCGACACGACAACACACCTCATGAGCGTCTAGGTAGTAAATAAATGGCCGTCGTCAAATCCATTCTTTGCTTCCTAACGAATGCCGGGTTGATAGATGTTACTGGTAGTTCCGTGGAGGCACTCTTCATGTAGGCGCTCACATTTTGTGTACGATGTTGCTCAGAAGCAATCGCATCCAAATGAGAAAACTAAGACATTGAACTACACCAACCATATCGATTGAAGCATCGGGACATTTGTTGATTGGCCTCGTTCGAAGCGACCTGAGATCCCACTGGATCAGATTCTGACGACTTGCGTTAGGGGTCAGGTTCGGTGAACTCTTCTTTGTCCTCACTCTTGACAACACATAATTCCACTTCAATCCGTTGAGCATTAGCAATACGCAATAATATCTGAGTTATTGCGCAGGTTTTCCTCTGTGGGTGTTAATCCAGCTCTGAGAAGGCGGAGGTGACGAGTAGAGGGGGCGAAGTGAGTGGGGGTGATTGAATCGGTGATTTTACAGTGCAAATCTGAATTCTCAAGCAAAATATTCCAATTACAATTGTGCGGAATAGCAGGCGACAATAATTTAGCAGCAGGTTTAGGATTAAATCGAAAATTGATAAACATTGATTTTGGTGTATTTGATGCGCCTTTCGACGCGATTAAAAGTTTAACTACTAAAAACGGAGGCAGTTAGAGTGTGCGCCTGGATTGGCTGGATATGACTTGACAACCAGGCACAATGAATCACACTGCCTATTCCTATAGTTGGGCATCAGCAAAATTATTATTGCTTAGTAGGAGGGTCTGATGGCTTCCTGGATCATTTAGCACTGGTGCATCTAGAATGCGAGAGACGGCTGTTCAGATACCTGACAGAAGACAAATTCGAGTCTCGACTTCCCATTGTAGCCTCAAATCATACGGTGTGTAGGCATCAGAATGCCTCAGCTGATGCATTTCCTCCAGCTGAACCAATTCCTAACGCTGGAAGAAATCCCAACGGCGCAATCAAAGCTTCTCCAACCCCTCAACAGCGACATTGGAACAGGTGACAGAACGGTTCGATGCCGCGAATGGGAGCGAACGACACTCATCCTTCAGCATGTTGTTGGCAATGTGGGGCACGGCACTTTGTCAGGCTCTGACCATTGTATCAGCTTCGGTGTTAGCAATGCAACGTCATGGGCCACACGAATGGTCACCGCCAGTCATCACGTCCAACACGAACTAGCGAAGTTTTCACCTCCAGAAGAAGCAAAGCTCAAATCACGAGAAATCATGCCCCACCCTTGCCTCATTTAGTCTACGAGTCACCTCCGAGAACAAGCCACTGCATCATTGGAAGTGCACAACTGTCATCAGGTATAGCCATTGAGTTTGTCTACAGCTAGATGCGGCATTGAACATCATCATCACCATCAGCTCGGAGATACGATGGTACGCTCTCGATCGGCTGTCACTCAGATCGTCTTCTCAAACCACGGCCGTTGTTGCCTGTGTGAAGAAATTCAACTGCAAGCAGAAACACAGTGCAAGCATCAAAATATGCTACACCACAATGCCCAAACCAGACGACTTCAAGTGTGAAAGCCAAGAAATCGACGGACCAAGAGCAAACTGATCCACATCCACCAAATCGATCAAAGCCACTTTACATCCGCTGATGAGCCGCACTTGAAACAGCAAAACGATGCACTTGAGGCGTGTTCAGTTAACAGGTGATTGGAGTCAGGTTCTGTGGCCTGTGTTACTGCCTCATTCTCAGATTCAACCACTGCTACACTTTGAGACGTAGTTCCACAATTCTTATTACTTTCAGCCTCCTCACCAATTGCGTAATGCTACGCCCATCTCTTTAGGCGTAGCAAATATCCACGAGTGATTGTCACCTCTGGTCAATCTGTGTGTGATTGGTATCTGGCTGACTACAATGTCGATTATGGGCTAATGGACATTGACGCGTGCAAATGCGCCATATTGTCCAATCCTGTCAAACCACAACAGTCGGTATATATACGTAAATTTCAGGCGTAATTTTAGTTAGAGGAGAATCACTGTTCGAATTCGGTCATACACTCAATAGATAGATCAGTTTTCAGTTGTGAAATGTCGAGTTCCATTGCTGATCTTGAATCCACAGCCAAACCATTCGATTTGACGTCAGGTGAAAGGTGTGTGTCATCTCTACCAACGAAGTGATGTGGCCGTCAACTAGTACGACTGTTGGAACTAGCTTAGAGTAAGCTGCCTGAGACAGGGCATGGCATAGGCACTCTCATTTCACTGTGTAGATCGCTATTGCTTGGATATCTTAAAGAAGAACACCTGAATTCAGATTGATGTTAGACACTGGCATTGTCGCATTCTCACTGATACCACCATCCTAGTTGTTAGAAAACGACGCTACAATGAGAGGTCTGGTCAGAAATGACGAACTGACGAGCTGCCAGGTCCAGTGATCAAAAGTGCTTCCAGCCGCCTACCAACACGCAGTGCAGAACTGTGCTCACCGATGCGAATCCACGTGGCATGTGTTTTAGTTGCAGAGGCGCTTGCCACTGTGATGCACTCATGGCTGGTTTTGTCGACGGCTGGTTGCAGGAATTAGGCCCTGTGAAAAGTTCCGTCGACACATTCTCGATTCCACTCAAATGTTTCTTCCTTTCTTTGCACAACCGAAAGTATTTTCTGACGCCATGTCCATCTGGTAAGCTATGAGCTCAAACCCAGATAGCTTTACACATTGCACTCACGAAAGCACAATCGCCTGTGATCATTACCCTTGCTCAATCAATGTATGTATACAAACTGGCAGACGAGACGCAACAATGGCGACTCCCTCACTTAACGTTCGCGCCTACCCGCTTTTCTCTCTGTGTTCCGATTTATCTAATTTTCTCTGATTCAACGGTTTTCTGCGTACAAACACAGTGCGTGAACAGGGTCCATTAGGTCGCTACCTCACCAGAGGCATTTCAAATACTTCTGTTCACCAGGCGCACGCACCCTACTCGACATTCCGTGGCGTCTGTTACATCGAGTACGACCACTTGGTCACTGACCACGTCTGCCAAGCTAGCATCCAGTGTTGATACCACTTGACGACGCAGGTTTCTGTCCAGATCTATTTAAATGGCAATATGAGGGGTGAATTCGTGTGTTGTGTCACACAACTTCACCTTGTTGTGTGTTTCCTCACAGCGCTGCGCTACACTGCACTGCGCTCCACTGACCACCAACACGAAGCATATAAACAAGATCACAAACATACTGACCGTTGTAATAGGGCTGTGTGAAGGTGTGCTTGGGCCTCAATATGCACACCACGTCGGAAAGAGTGATTCGTACAAGAACGGTCCACACAAGTGCAGTCCAATTATCAAGGCCACACAACTGTGGCTGAGCCACGGTAATCAAAGAAACTCACTGCCCTCACTTGCTTACTTGCCAGCTTACTGTGGTCAAGCAAGTCGGTTATGTTGTTCCACACAACCATTTGTATCGAACCAATTCGATTGCCCATCGTGTGATGCCGCCTTAAATTCAGTTGGTACAACTCTACTTGGTGCATGTCAGGGGCTGACAAATACTTCCACAAGAAAGAGTATACAAAAATACGAAAATGGATCAGCATTAATGCACCTCGAATGACCAGTTAGCGCGAATGTCGCCATGCAGAAATAATATTATAACTGTGGCTAATGGAGGTGAGAGTTGGAGAAGGATCGATTTGAGGAAGAGAACTCTGACTCGCGCACTGCGCGCATTCTGCTGCTCGCGTGCACCTCATTGGTGAACACGTGGTCGCACGTGTTTGGGCGAGCACAATCACTGACACGTGGTTAGCTCGTGTTCCAACCAACGCGAGGCACTCTCCACCGAGTCACATAAAAGCCGATGTGCAGGCACCACGCGTCACACGTTCGTTCCTTCGACATATCGACGAAGCAGGTACGTGGAACAAGGAAGCCCAGTCACGGGCCAAGTCTGACGCATGAAACACGACAGGCCATGAGGAGGGTTTGTACCATCTGCCATTGCGGATATTTACGAATGTTTGAGAGCTTTATTCAACTCGCGTCTTTGTTCCTAGATCAAAAAAATGTATCTCAATAGACGTCGGCGGGCGAATAATTCAGAAACGACGACGGAGCCATATGACATAGCAATGTCATTGGTCGGTGGCGACGTAAGTTTGAATTAGTCGAAGTTTGAGGGTAGGCAATACACGGGATCTTAATCTCGACTGTATCACTTACAGCCACGGAATCAGAGTCGGCTAGACACGATCAGTCGACTCAACACCTGCGTAGAAGTACTTCAGACTCTGTCCTACGTGATGCGTAAAATCCCTGAAGTACAGGCCAGCCTAAGAACCGTATTTGGACAACGACTATGCTCGAGAATGGTCCCTAGAGCGAACAAAGACAAGGAGAATATGCCTCCAACGACACCAATTCAGCCATCGACCGCGCTTTCTGAGAAGACTCTGAAAATCGCAAATGATAATCCCGAGAGTGGATGCCACGGCAGTTTTGCCAGCTGCCTCCAACAGCAAAACCACAATTAGCGAAATTTCAGTGCCTACACTGATTTCACCTTCACCCCAATTCGTCGGCTTTTTGATGCAACACACTATCAACTGCCACTTAGTCAATCCCAAGATATCTCCGAAAGTCCTGACTGCCCGCTGGATCTCAGCATTCCTAAGCACCATGCTAAGGATTCCCAGTTGTGGAGACCATACGAGACTTGATCTGTGTCTCTTAAAGATTTTTCACAACTTCCCGTCCCAAATCTGTGATTTTGCATCCTGACACCACTATTTTTAACTGAGAGTTTTAGTGTATATTAGAAGAAGAATAGAAGAAGTATTTTCCAAATGATCCAACTCAACTTTCAAATGGAGGATGGGGTGACAGGTGCATTTGGGTTCGTGGGTATCTGACAAGTGGGCCGTAGATTTGTCGCTTGAGAGACGATGAAAGACGTGGTTGCGGAAGACATGTGACGTGGTGAAATTAAAAAAAGGGCAATTTCGGACTAATCAAAGCATTTGCGTCCACATCAGTGACAGGGAATACTCGTCTTGTCTTCCTGAGTTCAATTTCCAGATTCCCTCATATCACATTCAGCTTCTGTCTATGAATCGGAATCATTTAACGTATCTGGATACTATTCGTTATCTGTGTAGACAGCTTCCACTAGCACGACGTTGTCCAATGTGAACTGGATCTGGCTCAAACGATTAAAACTAGACAAGTCCACTCTCCTCAACGTCTGCAAGGAGATATTTCAGCGGCTGTGGGATGTGAGTCGTGAAATGCCTGAAGTTCATTTCACACTAATAAACAAATTCGGACGACGACGACGACTAGACTCGAGAAAGGACACTTCAGTCGAGAGAGGCAAAGAGAACATGCCTCCACCAACACCAATCATGTCATCGTCTTTGGTTATAGGGAAGACTGAGGGATGTGCCATGGCAACCGTCGGGAGTGGATTCCATGGCAGTATTGCCAGCCCACTCCCATTCCATCAAACCCACTATCAGTCCGACATCAGTGACGGCAACGCTATTCCCTTTGGTATTCCCTTCATCCCATTCATCCGATTGACCTCAGCCTCTCGAAACGCCACACCAACGATTGCCGGTTGTGTAAACCACATGAGTCTTGAATTGTGTTTGTTTGCTCCTTTCCTCACCTACCCCATCCCATAATTTTGATTTTGCATTTGGCACCAATTTTAATATTGAGAGTTCTGTGTGGATCAGATGAGTAAGAAAGGTACTGTTAACGTGATCCACCCCTTTTTTCAAACAAAATGTGGAAACGTTGGTGCGTTTTGGTTTGAGAGAAGCCGACTTGCTAATCGAAGAACAATGCCCTCACACGCACAGTGAAGCTGGGAGTTATGGAGAGACAACCTGTGCACTGGAGAGAATGGGCAAATTTGGATCGATTTATGACATCCACATGCTGAGAATGAGGTCTAAGGTCAGGGCCACACATCCATCGGCTCCGACGTGTCTAGAAATATGACATCCCTTGTGTGCACAGCTTCGTAGACGGTAGGCAAGGCAGTTGAGCGTTAAGGTATCTATCGACATCCACTCTCAAGGCACTGTCCAGTTTGCAAAGCGTCTGGCCCATGCAAGCAGCGAAGAGCAGTGTGTGGTTGTGAAATAGCGAACATTACTCGAGTAGACTGTCTTGCGATCTTAACACCACGGTATGGGTTGGTGAAGCGTCGTGGAGATTAATGTGTGCACGATGTGAACATGACCCGGTTGTTTCTGAGGTGGGCTTATAAGCATCGCAACATTTAAGTTGTGGATGACTTGAGGTGTGATAATCTCGATGATCATATATCGTTACCAGCTGTTAACTAGCCCAGTAGTGTTCGATTTTGCTAAGTCGTCTGTTCATTTTTCGCACAAAATGCCTCTAAATATATTCTTATTAAATACACGAATTTTATTTCATAAGCAGGGCGAAACCTAGTTGGCTTATCGTGGTGTCTGTTATCTCCAGTCGGGCTACCTCATCACATATCATGACTGCGAGAGCAGCACATAATTCGACTTTGATGTGGACCTCATATCCAAGGAATACTTCCAAGCACGGTGGATTTGTGTGAACTCGAGCTCACAATCTGAGACTGCTGTTACCTTGCTGTTCTGGCAGTTTCGTGGTCGGTGTGGGTGAGTGGTGACTTGCATGAGTAGGCGCCTATTGTCGGTCTTCGTGTCCTTACATTCACAATATTCTGTGGTGCATTCAGATCTCAATGTGTACACTTCCTTGCAGAAAATTGAACGTGACGGTTCTTCACTACTGTCAATGGGCAGGCTTCTGCCCTCGATGAGTAAACCAGCAGCGATGGTTCTGAATTCGTCCTCGTTTTCCTTGGAAGTTCGTCGAATTTATCACTCATTCATAGAGCTTTTATTTCAAAATGTCGATTCTTTTTGTTTGTTCAACATTAGTCGAAACAAAACGGGAACTTACTCATCCGCTTGGCAACTACGCCGTCGTTGATCTTCCAAACTGATCATTCCTCTTCAACAATTCAATTCGTCCTGCAATGCTTTCTGACCCATCGTTTCATGTGACTTTCATATCGTCACTCTGAGTTAAGGAGGTTCCACTTAAATGACGAGACCGTCAAACTGGACCAAAAGAACAGGTGAGATGACACGCTGTGAAACATGAGACGCTGTGAGGTTTGTGGTCAGAATATGATCGAGACGGACTTGTCAACACCTATTAGGGGTGGTGAAGGGTGGGGTTGTGGAAATTGCCT